CTTGAAGGTTTTTTCTAGGTAAAGACCTATTATTAGAGAAAAAATTTCATAAAATTGCCGTTTTGTATGCAATAAGTGAAAGTACTTATTTTTTCAAACTTTTTTATTTCTGTTATTCGAAGTAATCACCCATGCAATCGACGCATCTTTGCCAACGCATTGGCAGTTTATTGATGCCCTTCTTGTAAAAATCAGCTGGACGGGAGGCAACAAACTCTTCAAAGGCATTTTGTACTGCCTCTTGGGAATTGAATTTTTTACCCACTAAAAAGTTGTCTAAATTTTAGAAAAAGTAATAGTCCGTAGGTGCAAGGTCTTGCACCTACCGACTATTACTTTTTTAAGTTTGAAAAAATAAGTACTTTCACTTATTGCATACAAAACGGCAATTTCATAGGTAAAGACCTAATATAATCAAACATTAGCCGTGCGAGAGCCATGCTTCGCCACGAATGGGCCGGCTCGACCGGAGTGATACCACAACCTCACAGAAAAACGGTGTTGTTAATCAATTCTTTCGTTGCCTTGCACTGAGTGAGTGAGGTTACCAAGTGAGGAGCCCAAATCCTCCTTTCCGCTGACTCGAGCGGCTCCAAGGGCGACATCGCACTTGTGGCTTTTGAGTTGCAGGTGTCCATGGGCGGCGGTAGTTGCTTACCATCAGGTGACACGTCTGCTCGTTTGACCCCGTATACCGTATAAAAAATATATTAACGCAATTCCAAACTTCTTAATCCATTGATTCTTCTTTCTTATTTTCCTTAGCAAGGCTTTTTGCTTTTCCTCTATGCTTATACTCTAGAGATATATAAGTTTCGTCATCACGCTTTTTGAATAAAACACTATATCAATACTTCTGCCTCGTTAAAAATAATACTTATAATATGCATAATATTTATAAATAAGTCCATTTCATTTATGGCCATTTCGGTCATTATCGACACTAGTAAATATGTTATGATGCATTCTCAAATTTTATGTCAGATCAAAAATGTCGTTCTCAATAAATTATAAAATATGTTATAGGAATTAGAAAGTACGGTTATTAAGTCGAACGAATATAATAAGGTATAGTCGTGTCTTGATAAGGTCAATCATAAACGGAGTATTGAGTTTCATATTGCCTAATCTTTGTGACAACTAATATACCACTTAGGAGCAGGGCATTTCTAATTTGTTTGCATGGGTTAACCGTTTTAAAGCTCTGTTTAATTTGACCAACTTCGATAACTTTTTGTCTCAAATATATATCTATATCTATTATATCTTTCAAGTTCACCTTTTTTAATTAATTAAAAGCACTTTGGAAATATTGGGCGAGTAGACACCATTTAGTTTTGCTTGAAAAGTGAAGTTTAGGACAGTAACATCATATTAGCAACTTTGTAAATAGGTGGTTATTTCAACGATCGAACTTCACCGTGTATTGAAGTTACATAATTAAAAGTACATTCTGACCAACTTGTAAACTATCGCGTTCCACAATATATAATTATGTTTACAGGAATTAACGCGCTCACGATAGGTATTAAGTACATACCTGACCTGAGCCGGTGATCACGGCCAGTGCAAATTAGTCGAAACCTCAGGCTATTCAAAGGCAACCGAAACTCAATACCTGTCTTAAGCGTTAATTTCCGTAAACATAGTTTCCTATATTCAGACCATTTTGAATACCAAACCAATATTTATATATTTTCTATGTAGTGTTCGTGTGGTTAAGTACACAGAGAGACTTTAAGACGCTTTTTTACACATTATGTCCCAGGCCATATGACTAGGTTATTTACGCTTGTTAAATATTATGACTTGTTTATTTCTCCAACTATTAGTAACAGAAATACCGTTCGTTTATGCTCTTGGTTCTTTTTATAATGTTGTACGAATACGAACTGGCATTATAAAATCTTTTAATAACTACTGTACGTGTAAGAATTGTATACCGCTGTATTTTTATCGACTTCATTTCGAAAATACAATATTATCGAGTCTTGACATATTACATAAAATTACATTGACGCTATCGAAGCATGTTCGTTTAAATCATTATTGTTTTGATACTTATTAAGTTAACCTCGTAGTACTTATACTGCAAGTAACAAGATATCGCTTTGGAAACTGCTAAGGCTCGAAGCAATGATGGAGCTGGCAGCATTAATATATATTTTTTTCTTTGATATTTTATGTAATATTTTTCTTTTATTTATAAAATTAGTTTATTATTCTTTTATTGTGATTTTTAAATGCATGTTTCTATGTATTCTATATTTTATTGCATTATTATAATTTTAAGAAAGATACTAGTATAAATGTGCATTGCAAGTTAAATGCAAAAGTAACCTTTAAAATACGGTTCTGTGGATTAAGCTAATACCTATATGCACTGTCAAGGTTAATACATAGGTATTACACACTACACTACACATTACACTAATATTAATGCAGATAGCAATCTACTAGGTCATCCTGAATGTATGAATCACATCACGTCATCACATCAACAGCTTTTAATAGTCCACTTCTGGACATAGGTCTCTCCTTAGAAAGGAGGTTTTGGCCAACTATACCACGCTGACCAGACGAGTTGGTATGAGGTTTCTGTCAAGTTTTCCTTCTCTTTAAGAGTTTGCTCTCTTAGTCGGCTCTTACGATACCCACGGGATGAACAGGGGTGGTGAGAATCCGTATTCTTAATCAGTCACCTCACGAATGTTTGAATTAAAGAATTGAATAAGAAATTTGCAGTCCAGATATTTTTAAGTTAGACGATCACCGGCTATACTTACACCTAGCACCGTCTAACACCAACAAGTAGGATAACCAGTACCACTGATTAATTACTATTATGGCACCGCACAGCAAAAGTTCTGATATTCATTTTAGATACAGGTATACAAGTGTTCCACAAAGCAAGATCCATGTTAGATAGAGGAGGGCCCTTTTGTATTGGAGGGACGTCTGGAGAGATGTCGTTCCTCAGGGTCACAAAAGTTTTATAGGAAAAATTTCGTTAAGCCCTTCAACAGCCAGGATCTGCTAAAAATGTGATATGAATATGATTTAGCGTCCGTTTGTCATTACTATTTTACAATGATGACAAATCCTGTGGACGAAATACTCTTTATTTCGTCCACAGGATTTGTCATCATTGTCTTACAGAAACTTGTAGCATACATTTTAACAAATATGTCTGAATAATTCCTCCTGTAATTTGTTTTTCTCATGTGAGTGAATAGTTTATGTTATTCTTTGTGAGAAATAAACGATCTTAAACCTGAATTCCGCAACGTAAATTCTAATTACGGGCAAGTTTCTTTATATATTTTATAGTTTATAATTTTTCTCATTTTACTACTCACACACGATTTTATTAGCATATTTAATAATTTTCGTATCAATATTGTGGCTGTGGGAACATAACACTCAAATAAATCACTTGGAAAAACTATCGCAGTGACAAGATGTCGTTGGCCGTCGCACGCGCGGTATCAATCAGATAAATAAATGTAAATAATTATTAAATATTATCGAATAGCAGATAGGGTCGTTTAGGCGCCCGTTACATTATCTACGTTATTTGTCGTAACAGTTTTACTCGACAGAGCGTTATCGGGTTGAGTTATAGCAAGCGACGCGCATCCGACAGATTCCTCATTTCTTCTCTAGTTTCAAGAGTGCCGGTCCGTCAGCGTAGCTGTGTCGAGAGATAAGTGACACCTGGCCACTGCTGATGCCTGCATTGAACCTGCGATATCATCTGTGTGACGGTATAACAAATGTGTCCGAGACTGAGAACCAATGTTAACAGTTATCATCGGATCCTTCATGGGTAGATTAGCTTTAAGATTTTTGATTCTTCGAAATACCTTTGATTTTTTTTTGTCTACTACTAAACATACAACATTCTTAAACCAAAGTGCTAAAAGGCTGTACTGAAATACACAAAATATTTCTAAGTTAATACTCGTAATGATGCGGAACGTAGAAACATCGCAATGATCTCAGCACCATCAACTTTTGGTTGAGCTGGTTTTTGTTGTTGTTGGTCCATAACATTTTTAAAATCACAGTGAGCTATGTTTCAAAAACCGTTTCATTGTGTAAAATATAAGAGTATTAAGTAGACACAATATTAATGTACCGATCGAACTGTTAAATCAATATTATGTAAATGCTGTCAGTAATCACAAAAGCCAGGTATATGACGCAATATAAATATAATACTAATCTTACTTGTCAATAAATTCGATTCGATTCGATTTTAATTCTGCTCAATGACGGAATAATTAAGTTACCTACTTTGACCAGTCTCATGTTTTGTTTATTATCCGGCTTAAGATATTATGTGGTTGAACGTAAATCACTTCTTGAAGTTGTATTCGATTGTTGTTGAAATGAATCCAATGCTATTTTAATTATAATCGTAGTCTTTCGTCCCATTTATACCTGGCTCTTGTGAATTCTTTATAGGCATATAGGTATATATAAATATAAATATACATAATATATATAATAATTATTTATTTATTTATTTTATGTTAGAGGGGGCAGACGAGCAGACGGGTCACCTGATGGAAAGTGACCATCGCAGCCCATGAACGTCTGCAACTCAGGAATCACAAACGCGTTGCCGGCCTTTTAGGACGGAGTAAGCTCTTTTATTGAATGTTTGAGGGTCCTATCGGTCCGGAAATACCGCTGATGATAACCCGGGCCGGAGTGAAATACTGCCTCGATCTGTTTACCACACCGAGCTTCTTCGAGGTCAATTTGACCTTACCCTGTAAGTGATCCCAAAGTTTACTTCGCTCGATATGTCGATGCCTAGGTTTCCGATGCTAGCTGAGGCAGTTAGGGAGGTGCTTTCAAACCGAGGTGATACGACAAATGGTATCTTCTTTGCGGTGAAGAGAACTGTGTCGCAGGAATTAACGCCATCTCCGGCCTGGGGCCATCAGAGTCCCATTAATAACCAATATATATGTAAAGATGTTGTCAGCATGACCAGTGTTGAACGAGGTGAAAATGTAACCGTTCTAGCCTGTATGAATGCAGCAGGACAGTACATACCTCCATTTGTTCTATTCAAAGGTGTGCGTAAACGTGACGATTTTCTTCTAGGTATGCCACCTGGTACTGAAGTTGCCATGACAGAAATATTCGTTCATCCACCATCAGAGGATTGGATTCAGTGCAATGCCTGCGAAGAATGGTGCCACGAAAAATGTGCTAATAGGGGGGGGGGGGGAAAGGACCATGTATATGTGCATTATGTGCCAATAATTAAAATTGATCTCATTATTAATTTTTTACTGATTCCAAAGCTATAGTGTTAAGAAACTTAAAATTTTGTCACATGTTGTGTACGATCCGATTCACCCCAAAAATTGGGGCGATTCGGATATTTTTCTTTTTTCAGTTTTTAAGAGCTAATGAAGCGAATATATGTATGATTTAAGTTTTCCAATGTTTATTTCATAGCTGATTGTTACTTCTTTCGTTTTCAACAATAAAAATAACATTATATAACACTTTAGTATGATTTACTTAACCTCAAAGAAAAAGTGATCCGATTCGCCTCGGTCTACCCTAGTCTTGAGAGTCTATGTCAGTTTTATATCAGCTCAATAAAGAATTAAGAATACAATATAATTCTAATGAAACATCGCAGATTTTGTTAACTAATAGATACCAACCAGACCAATTACCTAATTAACTACTTAATGATGCATTCAAAATAATAATATCATTTCAGATGTGCGTAATACACTTTGGCTCGTTAAGCATGTTTTGCGCAGCATGACGCTGAACACACGCCGCTACCGAGCTATCTAGTTCCTATTGGCTTGGCACCGAATTCAAACCGCCTAGAAGGTATCTATTGCTATTATAATGTTACCTGATTTATCGAGGGTCTCACTTATTTTCTTTTTTTCAATTATTGAAATTATTTTCTAATGTCTAGTGCTCTTTGTTAGTGTTGTTTGAAGTGTGGTCAACTTTAAAAATAAGGAATTATAGACATTACTAACTGAGTATTTATCAAACTGTTAAAAAGAAGATAATCGAAAGGAGAGTTCTCAATATTTAGTATGTGTAAAAAGGAAACACACACTAAATCCTTAGTGTGAACCAGATTTATTTTTCATATTCATAATCATAATTTATTTATTTGCTGATCAAAGTTGAAGTGGGTTCAGTGCTGGATTTTTTTATATACATTTGTGTTCTAATCTTTAAAGAAGGGAAACTAGAGAAGGGGTTTTAAAAGTGGGGATCATCTAAGTAATGAACGGACATTATTATAATATTATTTCAAATTGGACCTCATGTGTGGTCTTGTGCCAGCGCATCCATATTTATAGTATGGACAACTCGTAACCGTGCAGTAACCGTATCTTCTTACAGTTGCAACTTAAATGTTTTAATACTTATCAGTTTACAAAATAAAACTGATATTATGAATTGCATAACAAGCAACGCAAGCCGCAATTACAAGGCGCCACCACAAAGCACCACTTTTATTCTCTTTGCAACAAAACTGGTTTCGCGGCTGAGTATCATCTACGTGAATTATGATGGCGAATTATATAACGGTAAGAGCCCATTCGACAAAAATGAAACACCACGACCTAATTCATCAATTACTTGTATTTTGACGACGCTCTACATCACGATATTGAAAGCCTCACATTAAGTGTACGTACCTATCAGACAACGATAAATAATATGAAATAAATAGCGATTTAAACAGAGCCTGACACTAGTTTTGTTCAATTTGCAACAGCAGTCAATATTCTTAGTGGGGTGTTATTAACCACTTGTTGGCATGCCCTACGGCTGCGCCTGGTCTGATTTCAATTCTTTGATGAATAGAACCGTAATTGCATCACCCGTCTACTGTCGAGCTACCACTGCTCGCGCCTCTTGCAAAATAACTGATTTGAGTTTCGATAGATTTGAGAATATCGCTGTTAAATATAAAGACTGCATTTTACGCTAGCGCGCAACTATCAGTCATCTACGTGAATAACTTGATAGATTATAACTTTTATATCAAAACCGTCTGCTAGAGACCGGAGCAGGCTAATACACAGTTATAACTCGTAATACGTCCCTGACACGTCACTCTTAGGGCTACAAATAAAGCAGTTGCATTAAAACTTGTCCGGTGAATATCTGAGCGTAATTAATAGTGAAAGATAAGTCGCGGAGAGCGTCTGCGATACTTTGTACGGTGGGATGTAATCGAGATTGTCGGGAGCGCCGCGCCGCCACCGACAACCGACTCAGGCCCTATATTAATAACAGTCACTCGATATCAGAGGTGGCCGCACGAAATGGGAAATTAAAAGGCTTTCATGGGATCCTCTCATTAGACTGATTTGTATTGGTGAAGTTAGCGGCGCCGCACAAGAAGTTATTAATGACTATTGTAATCACTTGTCCCCGACATGAAAATCGTTCATGTGCCCATTTATCGAGTTGCTTCCCGTCTCAGTTTGACAACTTCTGGTTTTATTAAATTAATAGTGGGTTAGTGGTAATCGAGCGTAGGTTGAGACGATTTGTTGACTATAGGCAATGTGGCCAGCAGTGATTGTATCACCGATTGTACATGCAAGCGTATCAGTGCAGGCTAATTTGTCAATTAGAGAGTCAGAAGTCGTGCAGGGTCGCGGGGCAGTGCTAAAGCGCGTAATAGCGCAATTTATGCCATCATTGTTCTAAAGTAGCGTCGGCCGTATATCAGTGAAGCAGACGGGGCCAATTGATACAAACGAGCGCGTGTCACGTCTAAATATAATATTAGGAATCACGGCGCGAGCCAGGATATATTAATTTGGAGTGGTTGTTGCATGACGGAGTGGATCGCCAGGGCACGCGATTGTCATAAAGCGACACTCTCCGCTGTTTTATCCAGTTAGATTTCCTCATTATATAACTACATTCCTTTGTAGAATTGTCTACTTTAGTAATTTTTTTAAAGTGATTTTATTACTGCTGTCTAGATGGTTCAATTGTTGTTTTGCGCACTTTATATACACTCTGTAAAGAGTAGTATGATGGTTATGGAGTTACGATTTTCCTAATAATACAGATAAGGCGCGAAATATTACTATTATGTGAAATAGATGATCAATTCTAACACATCACATACTGATTTTCTCTTGCGTTATTTAGTAATACAAGACCCATGAAGTTTATGCGTAGAACTCTAACTATTGTCTATAACTTGTAATTTGATCTACATAAGTAAAGTTTGCTGTTTGGTATCCTTTTTCATTACAATAGTATTATTAAGGCTAGTTTAACCTACCCAGATACTATAAAAGTCATTGTTAGAGTTAAGACAAAAATTTTAAAAGAAGTTGCGGAGAAATTTGGGTATTAAAACGAAGCTGAATGAAGAGTTGTTAATATCTAGTTTGTTACTCCTTGAATGTAAGTTTAAATGACGATTTATGAATGAGGTCAGTGCGTTAAGTGAGGTCGGGAGACGGAGTGGCCACGCGCCTGACACACGACACTTGCCTGCCGGCTCCCTAACAGCGCTCGAGAAACACTAAAATATTTCCTCATTCATACATTGCTACTACTAAGAGCTCTCGTGTTTACTATAACCTCGATCGTGAGTGTAATACGTTCGAACTCAAATACGAGTATGTAAATAATTTATTTGATTTAAAACAAAATAATGTTACGACATTTCGTCTACTAATATTAATTGGTTTCATTAAGTGTTCCGTGTCTGTAAAAAAATATTTAAAGCTATAAACTATTTAAATATCATTGAAATATCATGAACCTAATTTCAGTTTTTTGAATCGTTGTTAATTCAACAATTAATATCGATTCAAAAAACTCAAAATTAGGTTGTTAAAAAGTGACGGTGTTGTTTGGGACAACATCAAATCAAGTCATCGATTGATGAATTGATATTGATTATACTAAGAAAAATGTAATATACGCCTGTTTTTATATTAAACTAGGTCTAGTAAAATAATTAGTATGAAAATCTTAAAAATATTTTTGAACTTTAAACTTTATGGCAAAGACCGCCAATGCAACGACCGCCAAGGGCAAAAAAATGTCGACTAACTTTGTGTGACACTTTACAAACTAGTGGGTTATATAGTAGGGCCATTCACCACAACGTAATCAATTTCAATTAAAATTACGATGGCTCTTATTCGTTGCTGTCCAATTATGAGGTCAAACTTACCTCGACTCGTTTAAAAGGTAGTCGTTTTCCTAGCATTCATTCCACAATTAAAGAACCAAAAACATGTATTTTTTTTATAATACTCTTAAATAATAAAATTTATAATAGGCCGTTTCATAATTAACGTAGATAAAACGCCTGCAACAAAGAGACACCTCAAAACAACATTGATCATTGCTAATACCACTCAGCAATAAATCAGAAAATCAGGTTCAACACCTTGTAATAACAACTTGTTCCCAGTTCATGCTTTTGTACTCGCCTGTTATATATTGCACATTATTTAGATTGCTAGCAGTATTTTACACCGGTCAGTTCGTTCTGGAATCTGTATTGAGGTCAATCTTATCTTATTACGTGACTGCGTCTCCTGTCAGCTGTCTATCTTTTGCATTTATATCCAAACTGGAAAGTGAATAACAAGAAGAGAGGGAGGAAGTGATGGCTAAAGATAATAAATTTACTCTGCATTGCTTGTCTCGTCTTGTTATGGCGACTTCGTTATAAAATATAAGATGTAGAAATTGAGTATTACCAATAAATACATCTAAAAGTGTTTGCATCATAATGTTAAGGCTTACTGTGTTGTTGTAAGTTTAAACCAAGCCCTGAGAACGCTATCATCATCATCATCATGATGATTGAAAAAAACGCTATATCAAAATAATGCTGAATGCGAGAAGCTCAAAATCGATCTAAGTGGCGTGCAATGGGAGAGGCCTATGTCCAGCAGTGGACTGCGATAGGCTGAGAACGCTATCGATGTAAACGAACTCCTAACGCAATCAGTTAATCTAATTAAGTGTTAATGAAAAAATTAATAACGACAGTAACGACATGAACCGTTAAGATTGTTTGAATTTACATTTACTGTTTGGTTCGCGTATATTGTTACTTTAAGTTCCTTACTAAGTTTGAGTATACCAAATACAGAAACAGCCAAATACTGAAACAGCAAACAGACAAAAATCTTATATTCTAATAAATAGAGATGACGTGTTGAAGATTCTAGAAAAAAAAAAATGTTGTGGGTATGTACATTTATATAAAACGCGATTATTTATAAAGGACTTATTTAATTATTTATCTCTGCAAAACTTTATG